GAGTGATGATCAGTGTAGCGCCACTTGGTTGACAAAGGAACCAGTAGATGCGTCAAGGATATTCTCTATCGGCAGATCTCGCTTATGATGGGTTATGAGGGCTATTAGCTCAACGGTCTTGCCTAAACCCATCTCTTCAGCTAGTATGCCACCTTTTAGTCCTTGCAAAACATCGTCTTTGGCGTCGTCAAGACTGGCAACAACTTTGCCTCGAAGATTACTGACGTGGCACTGCCTCCCTGTCACATCCTGGGTCGATCTGAATGACGACGGCGGAGCTGGCTCCGTGAATGTTTCTAGCTCACCTAAGGACGAAAAGGTAACACCTTCCCGGCGAAGCAACCAATCCACTGCTCTTTGTTGGAACGGATATAGAGTTGTCTCCATGAGACTCCCTCGTATGCGCGGCGAGATCTCCAGATCAAACGGTGGTATGTGGACCGCATCATAGAAGTCTGATAGCGCCCATTCCCTACTCTCCTCAACATCCCCGTCTCGAAAGTACTTTGACAGTAATTGTAGGTCTTCTCTCATATAGTGAGCAGTAACGGCGGGATCTTCCACGACTGATATGCCCAAAGACCATCTGATTTCTACCTCAAGCCTGTAAGCGCTGTAACCTTGTGCAGGTGAAGCGATTCGACAGTGGCAGAACACTGCTCGAAAGGCCGGTTTCTTCTGCAATAATGAAGCGGCTATTGCGAGATGTGGCTTGGCCGATTCGAGAAAGTCGGTACTGGTGGTGGCAATGACCTCAACGCCTGTCCTACTCCTGATGTTACAAAGAACGATGCGGAAGGCATTCGGCGCCCGAGGATTGATGTCGAATCTTTCGAGTGAAACGGCAGCGAAATTTTGCGATGAATGTAGCGAAGCAGCTGGAACTCGGGAGTTCTGTCGTAATGTCAACCATCAAGACGGGCAAGAGACATGGACGCGACTGACTAGATCCAGCGAGACTTTGGCTAATACCACACTCTTGTTGGAATCGGTCTCAACCTGGTGGATTGAAACTGCTGTTCCATTCGTAATTTTCCGTCGCTTCTGCGCCGGATCATTACAATCGCTCGGCGCAACGTCTCTAGCAAATAGAGACTGGAAGGCATGGTGGTTGCCCGAGGCATCACCGATATCCAGCGAGAATATGGGTCCGGATAGAGGGCCACGTTTCACTGGCGCTGCTACATTCACGCTCAAGACGTCTGCGCGACCCTGAAAAGAAGCCATGAGCAGGATCCCACGGCGGGTTCAAGCATGTAAAGGAAAAGTTGGATGGAAGACTTGGAGGAAGCATGGGCGAATGTCCGTGAAACCGAGGCGCTAAGATAGCACGCGATAACGTCCGCTCTCAGGGTCCAAAACCTATATCCTAGGGCCCACAACTCGCTCTAGGCAGCTGCCAATATGTACAGTCTCACATTCACCATCACCAGTCATCATCATGTTCACCTTGATTTATGTCTGAGCACTTTTGTCTATTTTGTCTTAGAAAGAATATCTATTATTTTTTAGCCTAAGAAGGATATACATGTATATTCTTTTAGAGCTCCCAGCGCTTACACCTATGCGATCATGGGGTTATTTCGAAGTTTGAGCAAGTACTTGATCATTGTTGGCCGAACAATGAACATTCAACTTCTATCTCAGATCATGTAATCTCCATGTTAAGCGGCCCGTTGCGCAATCCCCCCCGCCTCGTAGACTTGGTCATAGTAAGTGTAACTGTAGTGATCAAGGCCAGAGATCGGGTGTGGACAAATGGGTTTTGGCTGCTGGTAATGCATGTGCTTTCCTCGACGCTTGCAGGACTGTACCTTGCCTTAGTTGGTGGGGACGGAATACTCTTGGTGCGGTAATGGTACGACCCGGTGCCACCGAGAAAGCAGCCTAGAAATTTCTGGTGCTTGTGTCTGATATGGCGTTCCCTGGGGCTCTGAGAGCATTCCGGTATGCTTCATTTGATCTCTGATACTGAGAGTGTGGAGACATGTTCTCGTCCTGGTGATGACGCCTACTCTGTAGCAAGAACTTTCTTGATGGGCTCCGCAGCCTCGATGAACTTTTCTACCATTGTATCGAGCTTCGTGAGATCGTCCTTGCCCTTTTTTACCTCGGCAATCAACTTCTGCTTTTGCTTGAGCTTCTCTTGGCGTCGTTCTTCTAGCCTCACGCGGACTTGATATTCGTGCTCTATGCGTGCTGCCATGAGATCTTGTTCGTTCGCATCCCTGTGTTCCGGGAACTCTTCGAGGAATTCTTCGATCGGAATAAGAGGAAGCTTCATGTATTTATGGCTTTTCAGCGTTAGTGATGCATCTATAAGGCCTGCGGGTGGACGTACTCGTAGTTCTCCGCAGCCGATATCTCAGATCGCAGAGACTGCTCCTCATATTTGAGGTTATGCAAGCCTAGTATCAAGGCGTCATTGACTGCCCTATCGTCTGACGTCTTTGCCTTTTCCTCGCGCACCTTCATCACACTCTGTCGGTACAAAGACTTGATGATGGACAACTGCGCGCGAATGTATTTTTCTTGCTTCTCGATTTCCCGTTTCGTTGCCTTCTCGGATTCTATTTCTTCACGAGTTTGTGGATTGTTGATCTTTGGATGTGCCAGCTGGTAATCGACAAGCTCATTGATGAGCTTCTTCAAGGTCTGGACTTCTTTGTAGAGACGCGCATTATGGGGTGTTTTCACGAGATCGGCAATGTTGAAGGTCGCTAGATCCGTAGGCGTGGCATCATCGTGTTGAGACTCGGCAAGCATTTTGTTTGTCTCTAATAACCAGATTTGTTGGCGCGTGACAGGTCGAGGTCGTGCCACAGTGTGCTTTCAAAGTTCGATGATGGACTTGACCAGTTTCCAAGGAATGATGACATGCAGGTGGACTCCAGGCGCCTAGCGCGAAATTGGGGTGCCAAGCTCTCACGTGACAGCGTGGCCATCACGCAATCATGCGGGCTGGGCCTGACAATTACTAAGGTGCTCGTAGAGCTGAAAAGGCATCTGTTTCAGATGGATAGGTATGACAGTCATGAAGAGCACTTCGGTAAGTATATCTCAGCCCAGCAAGCGATCTGTGAGCTTGTGATAACTACAACCTGCATTGGCATGGGAGAACATCATGCTGACTAGGATGCTGACTAGGTACAAATAGGCCACTCTTGTCTTCGCCTGAACCAGATGTCAATTCTCTCTGAAACGGCATCTTCTGTACTACACGAGCATTGCATGAGGTGATCATCATCGAAAGGCCGCTCTGACTGATCAACAAAGGCTCAAAGTATCGCTAGATCATGTCCTGCCGTACTGGTAAGCAAGGCACGTTGACTTCCCGTACGCAAGGTTAATGCGTGGACCACATTCTGGCACTTTTGCAGTTCAAGTCTAGGTATTGTAGCAGGACTAGTCAATCGGGCACCATGAAAATCACCCATGGTGGGCATCCCCAACGTTTAATTCCTAGCCAGGTCCAGGATGTCCAAACTTTTTGGTTCATTGCGCCACATATGTACACGAGCCACCCATCGATGTGTAATGATCCACTTCGGCTATCGGGTATGGGATTTCCGCATACAGTACAATATGGTTGCACAGCAATTTGCGCACGAGCGTTGCGTCGTGAATCAAGGCTTCCAAACCCCGTCAAACTCAAAATTACTCGCAAGTCTGACGCCATTTTTCGTACCTCCATATAGGTATTGGCTATAGACAAGGCCAGCCATTCACTTCCCACATTCGATTTGCGTGGGCCCCCAGGTTTTTTTTTAAAAGAGATGTTGGAATTCCAGACGGGGACTTGCCGACACCAAGGTTCTGGACCGAAGAAATGTGTGCGGAACCGTGCCGGACACCACTCCTGACGGCAAAAGGCAGGCCGATCCAGAACCTGACGGTGGACCAAAATCAAATGGTCCATGACTTTAAACTACTCTACATGCCACTCCGATAGCGCAAGTTCCAGTAGTGTGGATTCGAAAGGGAGAGGCGTTATTTTGCCAGCTTCAAGGCGATCCAAGATATGATCTGATTCCGAGCTATACGGTAGAGGATTCCAGTGGTCGCGGCTAATTCTCCTTTGAGAAACCTCGGCTATTCAACCGGTATTCATCATGAGTAGGCAGATTGGGCAACAGTATAGCTAGGATAGGTACTGTGGTGCATACTACACATACGTTGAGGGTGTACGACTTGTGGAACTTGCGCCCAGTTTACGTTGGATGTGCTGCTCTTTTAGGATTTCCCCTTCCGAGGAACAGTCTGACATTCGCATCGCAGACCATCGCCTCGGCTGCCTTAGTCGAGCTATTTCAGCCCGCCATCGGCGCCGCTGCCCAAATTCCAATGATTCGATATCACACACTAGCCCAGGGCTAGAATCTTGGTGTTCGGCGATTGAACCTGTAGCGTTCGGTACCCTGCTTAGAATCCGGCTGGTGCGATTGGCGACTAAGGCTGTTGCTCGCGTCTGCCTTCAATGCACTCATCTAGAGATTTTATTGGCTTGGGATCGGTGCCGTCTGCTACCGAAGGTTCATTTCAGCAGAGTCTCTGAGGGTCCCGAAGAAGATCTGGCTGTAATACGAATTATTTGGTCAAATATAGCCTGAGGGAGATGAGGCTGCAGGGGGCAAAAGGCCAAATCACAGATATCGGCCTCTGGTGCGGCCCTTCACGCCTGAATATGAACCCCTACCTGCTCTACTGTACCTACAGAGAACCACAGAACCAGGTACATGATAAAGTACACACGACTGCGTACATAGCATCCTGGACATGCGGGGAAAACGGATCTACCATCTTGGCCACAGGATCAACGCACAGCTTCTAGCGTCCGAGTATATCGCCGATGCAACGCTCATTGGGGCAATCCATCCTGATACACTGTTTCGTTGCTGCAGAGGCACACGCTTGCCCTTGAGAGGTTACACATCACCTAGGAGTCAGTATCACATAAATTTTGACCGCCGACAAACTAGGCAGGATGCGACATATTTTGTCTACTGTATGTAACATAGTATGTACACATCACCCTGTACATACATAACTCATTTCAAATACAAACGCAAGCAGAAATTTCGCACATGGACCCTCCAATCCATGGTCCCTGAAATGGACCGTGGCATACGTTTACGGGCTTAGCCTCGCACATGCGATCCAATGTGCTCTGCATCGACAGTCTTCATGATCTATCCAAGGGTAATGCATGTAATTGCCGCTTGACGATTAGGAAACTGGCCAAGGTCCTTTGGCCGTTCGGCGTGTTGTTCATGCGCCAGCGTTGCCAAACACATGGCCTTGACTCTGAGGTCCCACGTCAATTCCCGCTGGCCAGCGCAAACCAGCGTGGCAACAATGCGTAACGGCTGGAAAATTCTTGTTTTCTCGGTCCTCTGTCTAAGAATTGAAGTGCCCCTCTCTAGGCTCGCTTACCTGAGGACGGATTTGCTTTCAGTTTCAAGGCACTCTTATCCGCCAAGGGCGCATGATAGACTCATGTACCATGCGGTCGCTGTGTCGATGAATGACCAGCTTTGGTAGATTTTGCCGCGTGTTCAAAATCAAGCCGTGTGATAGTCCGCCAGTGTTAGAGACACCAACATGAGCGTCCACAGCGTTTCTGCGTTTGGGACGATCCATGATTGGGTTCCAGAGAAGAGAACTGGATTTGTACTCTAGGAGTGCAATCACTATTGTTGAGCGATATTCGGCAGCATTCGGCCGCATGTCGTACGGTTCCTAGCTACGCTATCAGCCTTCACCTTAATAGACGAGAAGGCGTTGCCAGGCACGTGGAAGAGGAGCGGTCAATGCCCTAGTGGACTGGGGTGTCCCTAGATCTAGTCCTTGTAATGGTACCTGCTAGTGCCGGCCTTGGAGCAAGCGATAGCGTGAACTTTGTTGCAGGTCGCTCAAACCCTCTGGCAGATGCATGGTAGGTACTACTTAGCGGGAAAGGCCCCCCTATGCGAATTGCAGAAATGCGGCACGGTGGCTCGCAGCTTGCCTGGGCTAGAGCGTGCGGACGGGCTGATTTCCATGGTCGAGAGAGTGGGGCAAAGGACTTCCCTAGTCAGGGCCATATATGTGTAGCTGAGTGTAAAGTACCTCCCGTGGCCCGCTCGTTTGAAGTGCTTTGCCATCATTCATTTCCTTGTTCACCTGGCTCACCTGGAGAATGGCGCCTGCCCGGAAAGAATCGTCGGTGGAGCTATGCTCCCGAGTGAATGCTCAGGGTAATACTATTGCTATTCGTATGCTGGAGTATCTCAGTACTGCAAAAACCCCAGTCAATGGATTTCAGTCCCTCGCCGCAGAGTTCATCGACCTCTGCCAGGTACTCTGGTCGATCGAAGCTGGTCTCACAGAAGCCAACAAATCACGCAATGGATTCCCCATGGAAGTATCCCAGGAACTTGACAGGCGTGTGCGCCAAGTCAATGAAGAGTTCTCTGTCCTCAGCCAAATGGTCAACAAATGTAAGTAATTTTGCGGTTAATCCAGATGCGAGTGTCTTTTCCAGCACCAACAGAATGGTACTGACATCCGAAATAGTTGTAGATAAAGAAAACCACAAAGGTGGCTTTGGCATGAAGTTTCGCATGATGTTTGCCGACACAGACGTCGACAAGATGCGGCATACACTGACACGAAGCCGCGATACCTTGAAAGTGAGCTCCGCCATGTTCAGATGGACACTCGGAGAGGCCAGAGCAGATGCTTCAATGGGAATTGGATACGCAGGTCTCATTGCTGCATTGGAGCGTCTGAGCCCCAGCACGGCTAAGAGTCTGCCACCACTACATGCCGCCCCAACTTCAGATTTGCCACCGGTGCCTCCTTCCAAGGCCCATCCTTATGCAGATCCACATGGTTTGGACAGGCCGTCTTTGAACCAACTCAGACACGATGAACACTCCTATCACAGCGACACATCCCATCATAGACATGAAGAAATCTCACCAGGTATTGTCGACCTCCACAAAAATTGGCGACCACCCCCAAGTGGTAGCTCGAGCGACTCGACTAGGGACACCATGTATCATCAGAATATCGGGTTTCATGAGGATTCTGGTTACGGAGATGTTCGTTTGCACAACACTCGCTCCCCAACGCTTGAGGACAGGCTGCATCATCTTAACGTACAAGATCGCTACGCCGACGACAACCATACGCATAACTCATCAAAGGTAGACTCTCAGTCAGGCGGCTGGGCACCGCGCCAAAGTGGAGGTTCTAAGAACATAGGTGGCAAGGGAGCTCTCCTAGATGCTGTTGAACAGCGGAGACACCGAGTACTAGAGCAGTTGCTAGACGGTGGAGCAAAGGCAGAATCTCACATGGAGGCTGCTATGCTACGGATTGCTGCGCAAAATCAGGACGTCCAAAGCATAACCTTGTTGCTACGATATGGTGCGGATGCTAATGGCTTTGATCGGGAAAGTGTAACGCCACTGTTTGCAGTCACACGCTCGCAATGCTTCGAATCTGCAAAGATTCTCCTGAAGCATGGGGCTGATCCTAACCTATCTGCGGGACCCGATTCAGAGTCGCCATTATCTCTGGCTGCTAGCAATAACTCGGCCGAGTTTGTTCAGTTATATCTCGCCCATGGAGGAAATCCCGACTTGATTTTGGAGAACGGGTCGACTACTCTTATTTCAGCAATGAACAAGACTACATCACCGAAGGTTGTGGAAATGCTTCTAACATCTGGTGGGGATGCGAACGCAAAGAGCGGGGAGGGTACGACTGCGCTTTTCCAGGCCATCCAAACTAATCGCATCGACCTGATGTCGGTACTCCTTGACCACGGAGCGGACCCTAACCTGCCAGGCCCTAAACATCCACTTTGGCCATCATGTTATAAGCCGAAAGCTCTCCAACTGCTGTTAGAACGTGGCGCTGACACCAAGAAGACCCCCGGTGTCATGGAATTGGCGGCCAGTTTGAAGAAACTTGATTCTATCAAGATCTTGATCAATCATGGAGTCTCGCCGAACGTCAGGAAGGACAATGTCTATACACCGCTGTGCTCAGCTATTCGCGACAATAGCCCCGACATTGTTACTTACCTTCTCGAAAATGGTGCAGACCCAAACTACAACGCTGCCGAATATCCAGCTTTTAAGTGCATCACCCACAAGCGCACTCAGTTTTTGCCACAACTTGTCGCTGCTGGTGCCGACCTCCACAAGCCAAAGGGAATAATTGAGACTGCTGTCAAGTTCAACGACAAGGATGTCATGCTCTACCTACTCGATCAGGGCGTGAACCCCAATGATCGCACAGCTGACGGTTGCACCGCCCTGACTACCGCGATTCGTGAGGACCGCGGCGAGCTGGTCGATATCCTGCTATCCCGTGGCGCTGATCCTGCCATTCGTGGCCAAGATTGGCCTTTGTGCATGGCCGTGAAGCGGCCTACCATCTTGAAGAAGCTGCTTGCCGCCACGCCCAATCCTCGCGCCTTCCGTGGTGTTGTCGAAATGGCCGTGGTTGCCAACCAGATTGAGAGTATCAAACTTCTTCTTGCAGCTGGCGTCAGTGTCGAAGACAAGAACTGTGGTGTCTTCTCTCCCCTTACTACAGCTATCCGCGAGGAGCGCAAGGACATTGTCCGCTATCTGCTTGACGTGGCAAATGCGGATCCCAACGCCCCTGGAGAGCATCTTCCCATTGTAAAGGCTCTTCGCCGATACTCTGGAGATACCGAGATCCTTCAGATGCTGCTCACACGTGGCTCCGACATCAACAAGATGCATCGTGGCTGGAACGCCATCCTCCAAGCTGTCGAGAACGGCGATGCAGAGATCCTGAAGCTGCTCATTGACATGGGCGGCCCCGTCGATCTTCAAGTTACAGATGAGTCTGGCCGAGCTGTCATTGACATCGTGACCGAGCGCGGGTGGGAAGAAGGTCTCGCACTATTATTTCCCAATGCTGCGCAGAAGGTCGGAGCTCGGCAGTAGGTAAATTTGCCTATTGATCTCCTTTGAGAGAAATTATACTAACGCAGAAAGCAGGCGTAGCTTCTCAATATCTGACTGGCGCTGGATAGGCGCAGCGCTCGACAAGGACGGCATGAGATCCGACGACGACGACAGTTGCAGCCAAGCATCGAGTGCGATATTACCCACGGCATAACGTTAGTTCTGTGGAACGGTTTGAACTTTTTATGTAATGACGATGGGAGGAAAGGTTCACATGCATGCTTGGAGTTTTGGTACACCACAACATATTCCCCATTTCCTTTGTAGTAGCCCAGCATCTCAATCATCACATAGCATATTGTTTTTTTTTGCATACCTCTTGCAGATTCTACCACTGTAAGTTATTTAGTTTCACATATCTCAATTTCCTAATCTCAACCACCTGCATATAACTATGAAATCTCTACTATCAAAGTACCCTATGCACAACATCTTTACCAACACGAGCGGCACCTCATCCCGCGTCTCCATGCCGCCCCTCGCCTCGTTTCTCCCTAGCATTCTCCAGCCGCAATATCGCGATCTTCCCCCTCCCATCGGCCCGATTTCCAACCGCCCCTCCAGACCCTTCACGGCTGCTCCACTCAACCCCCCCAAACTCTAACATAACAAATACACTTCGAGCACACAACTCGCTGAGGGTGTGCTGATCGGCCGTAGGGCCCCCCACCGCCCCGGCCAGCTTCCGCAGCATCTGATCAAAAAAAGTGCCGAATAAACGTGGTAACGTGACAGTGTGCTGTAGGTGCCATGCAGTAGCTTGGTCGTAGTCCAAGCCACAGATGCGCATGTCTACTGTGACACGCTTCAAAAGTGCATGTTAGATACAGGTGTTGCAGCAGAACGCAGCGGCAGGGGCCGATCATTCGGGTAGCGTGGTGGGGGCGACCGTGGCGCGGAGTTAGTATTAATTGGGGTGTGTGGATGTGGGATGGTGGTGGTTTGACATCAGGTGGTTTTCTGTTCTGATGCCCTGTTCTTTTCTTTATCCCATGTCCACGGAGATTTTTTGGAAATGTCATGTGACTGAGTGGCGAGGACCGGGGGAGTAGTTTTGTAGGGTTTGTACGGTGGAGGGTTGCCTTGTATTGTGTGCATGTGTACGGAATGGTATCCGATTGAAATATAGGGCGCGGATCCACGGGAGAGCATGGATAAAGTATGCGGAGTTAACGTATTGGGAGCGCAAGCCGTGTGTGGTTGTCGTAGCGAGAACGCCTCGTAAGGGTGCCCTGGGATTGCCTTTTTACTTTGCTATCATGTGGAGCGTGCTGTTAATGCGTATACCCTGCTCGCAAATATATGCATTGTAATAGTAAGGAAGCCACTGTGACATGGTATTGAATATAGCCAGGTTAGTCATAAGAGTAGAAGCAGGTGAGATTGCCGAAACTGTAATGATTGTCGTGATTATCAAGTTTTGGTCAGCTTCCAGCATTGTAGCGACTGCTACCAAGCTTCGTGGCGACTCTGCCTAGAACGCCTTGCTCGCCTTATCGGCAATACTAGACTCCCTGACTTCACCACCATGTCCAGCCAGACTAGCCTTGCGCACCTGTTCCCCGAGAGCTTGATCATTCTCACCACCTCCCTCAAAGCTGATAAGAGATGGGCAAGGTCCAATCTTCTTTCGCATGACATAAGTTTTGATCCACCATGGTAGCACAGTACCACACTGGTGGCTAATGAATTTCCGCGTGGGAATCGCAAAGATGTAGTCGAGCTCTTCAAGTGTGCGTTGCTTGGTCTCAGGTACAAAGAGGAAGATAAGACATAGAGCGATAAGGTTGAGGCCTGCATAGAATCCGAATGCGCCGGTTGGTGTCATGGCACTTAGCATGCGCGGGAAGGTGATTGACAAGACGGCTGCCCAGAACAGGCATGTTGCAACAGCCCAAGACATGCCGACTTCGCGATGAGAAAGTGGGAAGACCTCGGCGCTGTACGTGAAGGGCACTGGACCTTCTCCCGGCGAGTCTTGAACACAATTAGCAGGGAACAACTCGTACGCCAGAGGAAACACATACACCATGCACCAAAGAGGTAGACGAAAAGAGCAACGAGACCCAGATGGGCGGCACTGCTCTGAGGAATCAAGTAACAGAGACCAGCTGCGAGCAATGTCCAGGCCATCTGTGGGAATGTAAACAGGAGCAATGTTCGGCGACCGAAGGTGTCGATAGTCCAGAGTGCTGGAAAGGCGAAGACGAAGTTGACCAATCCAAAGCCCATGGATGCAATGAGGGAGATTGTAACACTAGCACCAGCTTTCTCGAAGATTGTGCTCGAGTAGAAAGCGATGATGTTGACTGCTCATAGTTAGTCTTGTTCGTATATGCTGGCATGCTTGAAACATACTTCCGCACATCTGCTGTGCAATCATGACCACACCTGACGCAACAGTCGCCCTCCGAAGTCGAGGGATAGTGAAGAGCTGAATGAATCGAGTGACTATGTTGGTTTTCAACGATATCAGACTGTTCTCGACGCGCAGCTGCGCGTGGATGTAGTACAGATCGCGAGCAGCTTGGATATCGTTGTTGCGGAGGCGTCTGAGCGATTTGAACGCCTGTGTGTATTTTCCCTTCTTCATGTACCAACGTGGAGACTCAGGACAGAAGTAGACACCGATAAGGAGGGGAAGCGCTGGAATCAAAGCTGATCCAAATTGCAGGCGCCAGGAAATTCTTCCTGTATCCTTGACGGCCAAATTGGCAACGGTGCCCAGGAAGATACCGAATGCTGTCCACAGCTGCCAGGTCATAACTAGCGCACCTCGAATGCTCGCAGCTGAGCCTTATTAGTGACTATATCACTGGAAGAGGTGCATCGTACCTACGAGCATTCTCAGCGGCGAAGATGGGAATCGATGCGCCCTTGCACCCCATGCCGATACCCAACAGCAAGCGTGTAATGAAGAGTTGTTCCCAGGCTGACACTTTTGTCAGTAATACTCATCAAACTAGAATTCGGGGTGCTCACTTTGAGCGACTGCAGATCCAATAGGCGACAAAGCGCAGAATATTGCGGATATAAAGATGCAGCCACGACGTCCGAAGAAATTATTTAGCGGATCAGAAAGCCAGCATCCACTAAAGAACGTCAGTCGCTGTGTGTCTAGTCGTTGTATTATGACCTACAAGAAAGCAGAAGCAATGTAGGGTCCGGCATTGATCAATCCTTGAAGCCATTGGTTGCGGGCCGCATTGGGATTGACAACGCCATTGACCATCTCCGACGTGGGAATTCCAAGGGCGTCTGGGAACGACAGGTTGGCTCCATTCGATCCAGTCTGGTCCCAACCTTGCACAGCAGCACCAACAGAGCAGAGAACAATGGTGAAGTAAAGAATCTTCGGTTGACGCCACTTGTGCAGGACCTCATTGGAGATTGCATCCGTCTCTTCTTGAGTGATCCCAGGGACCTTTTTCATATTGATCGGGTCGCGTGCGACAAGCGCAGCTTTGCGAAGCAGAGGCAGGTGTTGCTCGAAGTCGTGCTCCTTTGCGAATGAATCGACATCTTGAAGCATTTCATCCTCGGTCATGTGAATGAGAGGATTCTGGATCCTTGGATTATTGATTGGCATTTTGCTTGGATGAATTACTTCTTGTGTATAGGTAATGAACTCACTTCGCCGATACACTGTTGCCAGTATTCACAACACCACGTTCTTCGAAAGCACTACTTCATGTCAGTACCTATACTAAAAAACGCACTTGGTATAGAAGCATACGAATCATGATGCTGGGTGCGATCTTTGTCGCTGTAGTCCTGGCTATCCATGATGGAGGCGTCTGACACAAGTCTAGGAGATTATCACACAGGCCGCTAAAGTAGGTGAGAAGAGCTTCGGCTTTATAGGTATTCTGGTATTTCTGCAGCAAACGGGAAGGACACCCCGCCGTACTACCGGTAGGTAGTGGTACCGGGAATCCTTTGATGAAAGCTGTGTAACACCGCGACCGGTTAAGCTATGCATGGGCTAGTAAGGTAGTTCGGTGAGCATGTCGTGCAATGTAACCCCTACGAGTAACGATCATCAACAGGGCTCACGCTGACGCTGTTGGCGGAACAGAGGTGGAGCAAGATCAAAGCTGGTGTCTGCCATGGGACAGGGTAACTTTGGCATCCTCGAATATAGTAGTCGACACACATTGCCAACCCGCCCAACATGTTTGATGCTTAACTCACCGTGGCGGTATCTTGGGTCGGCTTGTTACTTAGCTAGCTTCTTGGCCACCTCTTAACTTGCCTGGCCCGCCCACTTCGCGTGCCGTTCAACCCCATGGAGAACTCGACCCCACCAAAGGCCGTATTATGCACTAGGTAAGCTCCGGGTCGTTTCTGCGACAGCCAATACAATACCGATGACGCCTGTCAGATCACCATGTAGCATGAAGCGGGTTGGGTCGCATGTTCAAGCGCCGCTAAAGAGGCGTAGTGAAGTTTGCCGCATGCTTCACAGAATCACAGCTGTCAGCCTTGAGTGGATTTCAACTAACCTTGGAAGCCTGTGGCAAGGCAGAATGCAGCTGTAGAGCCGCGTCGTGCTGCAAGAGTATCAGCTGTTCAAGTTGAATACTTGTCTCGGATTGCGTAACTCGAGCCATGCTCTCATGATCATCAGGCAGGTCCTTGAAGGCTTTATTGTCACAACGCCATCATCTGCCCTTGTGTAAAGTCGGTGACGCCGTGGCGCAGCATCTTTGTCTCAACACTCGCCTTCGCCTCTCCCGTCTTGACAATCTATGCGGTTCAGCCAATAGACGTCGATATGTACCATAGGTATCGCTGGCCGCTGGATCGTCAAGTGTCAGCCACGATTACCTATCGACAGTAATATTGGTACTCTTTGGGTATATATCCTGTCGGGGTCGGGATGCCTGCTGGAGTTAGAGCGAGAAAGAAGGGCCGTGTACGGTACTTACAATTGGCTCACCAAGACAGACTTTGCGTGAAAAACATAGCGCTACATGAAGCTCACTCTCGCAGTCTCCCATGCACACCTACTTGATGACGGCGTAGTACTCCTCTTCATATGCTCACATACGTGTTTAGGATTTGGGGTTCGTCCAGATGAAGAGGACACTCTTGGTCCTTTAATAATGAACGAGCAGCAAAAGGCATAGAGAACTGGATGGGAGGTCCGAAGTCTAATATCGAAAGTGTGGTGAAGGCAAAACAATCGTTCTAATTCTTGAAGAACCAACATGAGAAGTCATGGAGCAAGGGCCTCGGGCTTTTATAGTCGTGAGACGAGATAGCTCCACTGCTCTTCACAAACTCACTAAACGAAGAGCAGTTGTTAGGACCCCCAAGTTGAGGTTTGCTTAACATTGCTAAAGAAAATCCGACCGATAAAGCTTGACCAATTGAATTTTCTTACGACAGCTTACCAAGAAGATGCTATAAGTTTCAGTGGTTTACTCACTACAGTACTCAATGTAACAATGAAAATCGACGGACCAAAGGCAATCTTCACAAGGTAGGGTCTACTATTCACAGTGAGAGGGCCTCGATATGTAGAGTCCGAGCTATCGGGCCGATTGCCACGATGCAGGTTTACTCTCGCTGCACTTTGCAACTGAAAAGGTACGCATAATTTGTGAACAAATGGCACATATGATAAAATGATCATGAGTGGATTGGCGTATGTAGGCGCTTTGCAGGTGCCCTTGCTGTAAGCACCTCGTGTGCGGCTGCGCCTTACACTGATCTGGCAGGGGATCTAACAAGCTAGTAAGCCTTCCTTCGTTGGACGAATCATTGGCAAGTATCTCTCATCATCTTCCTAAATATGTACATTTAGTGATTAAAGTCACGTAATGTCATTCTTGCTGCTAAAGTCTCTCATAACAATATACCATATACCGCGGGAAAGCTCCTCAATTGGAGACTTTCTCGACGCTATAAAAAAGATGGAACTGAGAGCTTGACAAATGAATCTTCTCCCGGGTCGGCACAATACACATGTGTCAAATTTCTCGTGTTGGTGATTGCCTGCATAGCATCACAGCTTGTATTCCTCATTGCCCGAACAGTATATCCCATTGCCCAAATAGTATACCCCATCGCCCGAACAATATGCCTCATTGCTCAGATAGTCCTGGCGCCTTGGCACACCTACGATCCTACATAACGTGTCATCTCCAAAACCATCCCATCGCAAATACATATTCTATGTTCTAGAACGCTACGTCTTCGGGCCTCCTGCCAAAGTGAGGCCGATCGAAAGAAAGACAAGTATCGTGAAACTTTGACGACCTAGCCAAATTAGGCAGAAGGAGCACCCCAGATATTTGAACTGTACCGACTCATGGAGTACCCAGAAATTGAAGGGAAGTTGGAATATACCAAGGCACTACATGTGACCACAGTCCCCCAAGATTCTCTCTCTGGAAACCTAACCTCAAGAAGAAGGTGGGCCCCGGCCCCACGACTGGAATAGGCGGGCGCAGCAAACCAAGAACGGGTGCGTGCATCCGTTCACAACTGTTTCCCGATGTGGTTCACGCGCCAAGTACAACTTCTTTAAATCACAGACCTGCGATTCGATCACAGTCGGTAGTCTTCAATGTAAACTGTAGCTGACCAGAACACTCGTCATTAGATCTACTTTTCCCAAAGATTTGGAAGATACTCCTGCCTGAATGGCCTAGTTACAATCGGAATTGAGCATTGTTTGGGACAGGAGCAAAATACTCCGAATATTGGGCAAAGTAGTTACTAAGGAGATTGAATGTCTTGAAGTTGACGCACTGTATCAATGGATTTTCGGAGCGTCCAAGACTTTCGGAATCAGTGTTAAGCCATGCAATTGGTTGCGAGGGTAAGATCCAAGCCAGAGAGTGTACATTTTTTGGAACGGTCACCGCACTTCAACAAGACCAAGCTTCATGGAGATGGTCGCCGTTCATGACTCCGCAAGCATGGGCGACCAGGTACTGCGCAATGGTATATCTTCGGTAAATTCCATGACACACGAGACAAAAGAATAAGTACTCCTCGGCTGCCATACTGGGACGGACTTCTACTATTCACAGCATTTACTCTAATTTACCACTTGATCAATTCAAAAATGAAACTCTCTACTTCTTCCCTCCTCTCTCTTGTTCTCTTTACCATAGAAGCCCTATCCCAGCCGACTGAGAAGTCGTTTAACATCTCAGATTTGCTCAATACCGACCTTTCACCCGAGAAGTACTTCCGCTCTCTCCCTGACCCTCAAGACCAGGGACTTACCAAACGCCAATACTCTCGCAACACATGTAATGACCAACCTCGAAGCACCTCGCTTTTATCCACATGATCAATGCTCATCAGAATCAGACAACCAACTCACCGATGGCACCCCATGCCGTCCCGTCACTGTCATCTATGCCCGTGGGACAGGTCAAGACGGCAATGTCGGAGACCCAGCAGCAGTTGGTCCTTTATTCTTCAACAACCTTGCTAGTCGCATCGGAGGGACAAGCCAGCTCGCAATCCAGGGCGTAACCTACCCTGCGAACGTCCCTGGTTTCTTTGCGGGTGGGGACGCAGCTGGCAGCACCGCTATGGCGGGACACATCTCCACTGCCGCGACCAGATGTCCGTCTACCAAGATTGTACTTGCTGGGTACAGTCAGGGTGCTCAGCTTGTGCACAACGCTGCACAGCGCACTTCTGCGGTGAATGCTGCGAGAGTAGCTGCTGGTATGTTCATTCTGAGATATGGATAATCACATTTGCAGTAAAACTAACTTGTCGAAGTGGTTGTGCTCGGTGATCCCAAGCGTGGCCAATCCTTTGGAAGCATTCCAGCATCGAGGACCCTGACGATCTGCGAGCCTGGGGACAACATCTGCGAGGGTGGTTTCATAATCACTGCTGCTCATCTGAACTATCAGCAGAATGCGACAGAGGCGGCGGCTTTTGTTGCAGGAAGACTTTGAGTAACGCTTCGTAGAAAAATCATTATGCCTATCTGATATGGAGTATACTGAACGATTGTGACATTTTGCTTTCAGATTACTTTGCCTGCACAATCAAGATGGAGTCGTTCCATATAAACTTTAACATGCCTCCGCTTCTTGAACACAGAGCAATCCAATATCCAGCTTCAAATGCACTGGAAGTGTGGTCCACTTTGTTCACTCTGATAGGAATAACTGCCACATCTTGTCGCTTCGAAAAATCAACCTGTTAATAAAAGTCAATGCCTCTGCGGTTTTGAACCTCTTGGCTTTCCCCAAAAATACTAACTGCGCATAGTTTACTCTCGTCGCACGGTTGAACATCTCGGACATCACGCATGTAGAAAAGGAAGGTTTGGCTCAGAAATGGTATATATAGACTGCCCCATTCATAAAGACTAATAATTATACGTGTTAATTGACACAAATTGTATCAGACACGTCACGTTGGTTGGAGGAGTCCAATGTCCTACTTCACCGACAATTCTCCGACTCATCCGCTTATGAAACCTCCAAAAATGTGTACCCTCAACAATAGTAATCTACAGAAATTCTAAGATCCAAGCGTCAAGTCATGGAGCCGGAAGAAATTGCCATCAGCATCACGCTGATAAGGACCGGGTTCTGCCACAGCTCGAGTGTCTAGGTCTACAATAGCTGCCGAAACGCCTGTAGGATACGGCTGCCAATTTCCATCCTCTTGTGGAATGAGGAGGTTGTCAGGAACAGGTTCAATGTAAAAAACGGCCTGTGGATACCATTCATTCTCTGTATCTCGGAATACAGTGACTTTGGATATGTGCTTGAGACCGAGAATCCACTTGTGAGCGAAAAGCAGTTGTGCGCAACTCATGCCAAGTGAGCCTACAATGTAGCAATCAGCATGTATAGACATATGGTGGGAAGTCGAATGAACTGATCGGTGCCACTTACCTATGAGTGCTTTGCCCGCTTCCTCATCAGCAGTGAAAGTGACACCAGGCCATCCCGGAAGCGGGGTTATGATGCCACGTTTTGCCAAAGCATACGCAATCATCTGTTGACTTTGTAGACTTGTGATTCGTGCAATGGCAAAGTACTTCAGCTCGCTGATGTATGAACTGCTGTAGCTATGCCAATGTACCCAGAGCAAATCAGAGAGAAATCGAAGCTTGGGAAGGTCGGCTATTTTGGGCTGGTAATGGTGAACGGCCACAAACTCGGTCCTGACGTTTTGGAAACCCGCAATGAAAATCACTGCGACAAGGGTTAATATGGCTCGGGGAGATGCTCGAGTGATCATCGACTTACTGCCTGCTGGACGATTAAACACGAAGCTGACCTGAGCTCCCGTGGACTTGAAGGGTGAGTCAGTACACTGAATCATAAAGGAATGCGAACAGGCATTCAACTCACCCAGTAAAAGTTATTGTCTGGCCCAATATAATGCTGCGTATCCAAAGGGCCTCTATCATTAGGATCTGCGTGTTTCAGCCGAATCGGCGTATTGTCTCTGAGTTGGAACAACCCTTTCCAGTCACGTTCGGCTTCATCCCAGCCCCAGTGAGTGAAAAACCTTGTCATATACTCCGGGGTTGGAGTTTTGTGCCAGCCCCAGCTCTTGAGCAACGTGACTATACGACGAGCCTGGAATGGACCACTGAATGAGCTTTCAGCTGAGGGAGTGCTGCGACTGTCACGCAGTATTTTGCCAGCGTCAATGTCGGTGCGGCGCATCATACAGCTGAGGCGCTCGGCATTTGCCACGGCCATGTCCCACATAGCCTGGCTAGCTATGTTGGTGCGATCGAATCTGACATAATCGCGAGCATAGATGTGATCCTGATCCGCAGAGGTATGGTCGAATGCTTCTTTGAAAAGATCATGTTCATCGCTATGATTGGAACTTGGACTATACTCTCCAGCGCTCCAGGTCAGGGTGAACAGAAGCGCCCAACACAGGATCAGCATAGCAGGCATGTATGCGTCACTGGTCGATGTAGAAGTGGTGAGGTATGTAATGAAAGCGAGCGAGTGAGATCGAGATATATATGCTTAGCTATCGATGCGCATTGGCCAGCTGCAAACGCAATGATACACTACAAACGGTCCCTCCTCACGTAAAAATGACACTAAGATACAAATAGCTCTTGAATTCTTACCCGCAGATTCGCTTATCAACAGGAAGATGCGCCATGTGAGTTGAGAGGCAGTGGAGTTGATTTCGACTCTAGGTATTAAGTAAGTGTATAAATGTAGGTGCTTGCTCCTTTACTCTCACTAACACGCAATTGCGGTGCAAGGAAAACTTCGTGCAAATTCTAGGGTCTTTTCTTGTTTTCCATCTCCATTGTCTTCGTCCTCTTTGGCGGTTCTTTTCGTACAAAGCACTCGCCAACGTGATGGCCATGCTCGCATGCAACGGCCCATTTGCCCATGCCCAGGTCCGTTGGCGCACGTCGTACACCTCTTCCGCCACCTCCAACGATCAAATTCCCTGGTCTGTATGTCGGGTCTGCAAGCATACGCTTAATCACACTGCAGTGGATGACTGCGGTTGCGGGAATATCGCGTGTCTCACCCTTGGGCAGCGGCCATCTGATCGCGTTCCAGGTACCGTTTTCTTGCAGATCCATACGGCGAAATGGTAGGTACTCCATAATATTCCACGAGACAACACCTGCATGACCAGCGCCATTGTTAAACTGAAGCACATCATGAATGCGGCCGCGCGTGGCTGCGCTATGCAAATGTTTATGGAAAGGCGTATCAGGATGCTCACGATGGTGGCTAAGGATGTTGTCATCATCCGTCCAGCCGATAACAGTGGCTTCACTTGATGTTGCACCGTTAGCAGTGCCGTTGGCTACGCTGGACTGTATCGGCGCGGGATCAATCTTGAACTTTGGTATGTTGGCTTGCCGTCTACCATCCGCGTCGATCGGGTCCTCGTGGCAGCAGTACAGAGCTTCAAGCTTCTCTTCATCAAATTCAAGACCAGCTTTTTGCGCTTCCCGGACCATCCACACAAGTGGAACATGGCTCAAGGCTGCATCGTCATCACCGAGGGGCCAGCCTCCGCCAATATCCTGATAAGATGTCAGCCTGGGCCAGAATATCATATAGACATCTGTATTGTCAACTCACCGCATGGCAACCTGGAAACCACACCTCCTGTATGTCCTGCTCGCCCTCTTCCTCTTCTGAATTCCAGGTCTCTCCAACATTGAGCGACAGGATAGAAGGAGTAACGGAGTCGTTTCCACCATCGCATTGATCGTAGCAAGGACTGAGGCTGCGGACTCCAAATGTTTCGTGAGAATTGCTGAAGCGCATGGGCGGTAAGGAAGCCCCAGGTTGGCCTTGATCGATCTCATCTTTCTTCCCGCTCATACCATCGACCCCTTCGTTACTATGGAGTATGTTCCTGATATGATTGTGCTTATGGTGACGCTTGTAGAGAGTGGTTGTGTCTGGTTTCTCTTGCGAGATCAAGTCTTGACGGAATTTTGCTCGACGCTCGTCGATGGCGACGGCATGTCGAATCACTCGTGCACTACTCCGGGCCGTGTAAGGGAATTTACTGCGTTGCATCCATGCATTCTCGAACGCCGGAACGCTGTTGACTGTATCAAAGAGACCTAAGAAACGTATTGCGCGAACCGGGCGACTGAACGTTTCGCGGAATGCGCACATGAACTCCAGCTGTTTCATTTTGGCTGATTTCTCTCCAGGCTTGCGGTCAGTATCCTTATCTTCAGGAAGTCGACACTGCCATTTCTGGAATGTCCTTCAAATTTGATCAGCCCAACATTTTCACAGACGTGGTAAAGTCATACTCACTTCCATGCAAACTGACACATTTCTTCGTTGCCTGCCTACTTGTCGTGAGCAACTGAATCATCATTAGGTACATACGAGATTCTTACAGATAACAGACCAACATGATCCAGCATTTCTGCAAGGAAACGGGCGGTGTAGGCGCCCCGAGAGAAACCAAATAAGTAAATATCATCTCCTGGCGTGTAGTAACGCATCAGAAACCGATATCCAGCCATTACGTGTTGATCAAAAGATGTGCCTAGTCTTATTAGCCACCAAACGCATGGTAGAAAGCTTTGTAATTTACTGACCAACTGCGCTATCCTTTGCCTTTGCATACCACGACTGGAACTTTTCCAGTCGGCTCGTCCGGGACATTGAGCCATTAGCTCGGGTAACATATGTGCCGATACCAGGCTGGTAGTAATGAAATTGGTCGTCGCCATTACGGTCAAGCATGCGATAAATTTTAAGAATGTTGCTGTCTGCATCTGTACCAGAAAATTTATTGCCAGTACCGTCGAAACAGAGGACAAACTTTTTCGGAACATGGGTCCGTGCCGTCACGATTGGGCCCCCGTACCCATCCATGTTGTTGTCGCGAGGAGAGGGTATATAGGGCTGGGAGGAGGGAATTAGGAGGTTTGATTGCTCGTGATCCTTCGCCGGCATATTAACAGCATGTTACACCCGACTTAAACGGAAGAGGTGGCGAGTATGAAATGTAGAAAATGCGGCAAGGGGTAACAACAGGCGAGGTAGTACTGACCCACGAGGGGAAAGCATATTGAGAGCTGATGTCAGTGGCGTCTGGCGCATGGTCTCTCTGTTCTTGCCTGATGTCCCTCTTTGCCCTAAAAGTGACGAATGCCGCCTTCAAAGCATCTAAAATCGCAGATCGATTGTTGATCGACCGCCAATCCTATCTTGTGGATTGTGGATTTTATGCGACTGTGGGAATTGTGCAAAGTGCCCGCGCTGCAACTGTAGGCAGACACCAGGGAGATTAGCAGTAGCTCACCGTCTGGGCGTATTACATGGGTATTTCGTGTCTTCTACCTCATATAGTGCTCGATTGGCCTCGAAAGCTACTTCAACTTGAGTAGTCTGAGATGTAGGCGATGAATACGACCATGGTAAGCAAGATACGCCATGAAGTGGCCACGCAGTGCTCATTGGTTCGGAGGATAGTATTGAAATCTGCGGCATTGCTGATCCATCATGCCGTACTATGGCGCTGTACCATCTCTCGGACTCTCTCCCTCGCTGGCAATGGTGGAGTCAAAGTCGGCGACGTCGAGGAAATTAACAGGCTCGCTTAGGCTAGCTCAGGGTTCACTCCGATCACTCCGATCCGACGCGGCCCCAGCCGACCGATCTCTAAGCCAACCCCAACCCCCTCCCTCGATGGTGTCTAGGTATCTACCATGTACCTACGCCTCCTTGTATCCTCTCTACCACCACCCAATCCTTCACCAGACTCATTTAGC